TAAACTTGAAAGACCTCGTATTACTACTAGTATCCAAACATGACCCACGCTTTGTTGAACCCTTGAAATAAGTGCATTGGTGATGAAATATCGAGTTATCCACTCTAGAAAATCAAAGAACTCAACCTTACCTGTCGTATGAAAACTCCGCTTGCAGCTTAATACTAAAAAGTCCGATAAAAAGCGGCAAATATGTTGAGATCTGCATTTTTATCATGGCGAGTCTGGTCGGTCTTCTGTACTTTTTTTTACACTGGTCGTAATATCACAACGGTGCTAAAGTGAAATTACCATCAGAGTAAAATAGAACCACAACTTTGTAGTTTTTCCAACTTTCGGAGTGTCATGTAGTTTCACAGCTTACAGCAATACACGTTATGTGCGCGCAGGCATCATATAATCCGACCAGCAGCTTATGCCGCGAAATCACATCACAGCACTTATATCGCCGAACTGAAGTTACTGGGCGGAGCCTCGATCGCGGGCTTTAGTCTGATGCAGGGGGTTTTAACAGGTATGCGGTTAATTATGAAACTCACCAATCACTCAGACGAGGTCACAATCAAATATACCGATTTAAGCAACGCCCGGGACGTGGACATACTTAATAATATCCTGGTTTTCTTACAGGAAGTATCTCTGAGTCGGGTACTGTTTGGTAGAAGGTCGTAACGAGATTTGTGTTAACGTTGCTTCTGATCGGAGACTGTATATAGAAGCAGTAACTATCTGTTGGGAGTAGATTGAAATCCCATATTCAACATGATTTAAACAAGTAGTCAGGTTTAAATAAACAATACGAATGACGAGAGTCGACTAACGAATGTGGGGGCGATGAACATTGTAGATAAAGTCCAGAATGAAAAAAATACTATCAAGTCGAGAATGGTTGTGCGCAACTTGATAATTCTTTAGCAATCACCAACAGCGCCCTCTATGAATAACTATAGTACACATTCTTATGTGGTAACACATTCTAGCAAGTTTTTCGCCAAGTTTTTGAGTACAAGAAAGAGACACCCGAGTACCCCCGCCCCCTCGCAACGGTACATTTGCTGGTAAAACGCTGGGCTTTGAAGAAGGGCTTGGCTGGTTCAACGGCACAACCGTCGGAAATAATCTATTTATTGCAAGCACAGATTCCTGTTATTAAAGTTTAATGTGTCGGAAAAGATTAATTCAGACAATATCATGGATTATGTGTCCGGGAAGAACTAAAGCATGATATAAAATATACGATACAAATTAAATGACATAAGTTGATTATCATAAAACATTCTCCGGTATCCAAATAAACTATAAAATTAATGACGTCTGCGCGGCTAACACAGTGACCAACAATTTTGGAAACTGCTTGGTCATCCTCAGGGGTACGTGAGTCGTGACGTCTAGTCCGCCATTCATTTTTTTATTACAACATACTCATACAACTATGAAGATCCTGTTGATCCTGTAGAACCAAAGACACTAGAGAATGCAAGACTCGTTGTATAGAAAAAAGGAATGAGGCTATTGAGTATATATTTACGTAATGAATTAATAATAATAAAAATATTGTAAAGGAATGGTCATCTTGACATATTCATACATGTATCGCTTTCAATGTATCGAATTTGGAAAGTTGTACAAACCCTCACAGTGGCTGTTATGTGGCCACATTGTGTACTAAGCTCAGGCTAATCATGCTACTTGCTGTGAGGAAGAAGTTAAAAAGTGAATATGAACTTCGGAAAGTGAAAACTGAACGCGACATCGACTGAAACATATTTAGTTACAAAGGGTGTATAATAATATATACTTTTGCCCTTTTTTTAAAACTAATCTGACCGCATACGAAAATTTTGCTCTGTAACGAGATATAACCCTTCGGTTTATTCTTATGTTTAGTTAAACTACATTTTGAGTGAACTTCAACTGTAATATAACACGTGACTAATGTGCGAAATTATCATATACAACTTAAAACACGTTAATCTATATTGAATTGCTGTTTCAACTATGCATTTTTTGCAGATGGGCATGACGAACCTGTGTACATGGCTACACTTTCAGAAATGGTCACCGCAACGTAAAATATATTAATATACTTTGTGAGTTTTTGTTGCAGGGCCTTCAAAAAAGCCAGAGTCCACAAGAACGCCCAGCACTTTCCCCCCATGATTATGTTTTAGCAACATTTTTTTAAAATTTCATTCTCATGTTACTGTGATGTGTTACAAAAATTCGAAGCATAAAACACGACGAGTTGGCAAGTTGATTCCTGGTACCACGCCATTACAACGATAGGGTTCATCGCAGACTAGTCTAGAACGCAACCTACATGTCGAGTTCGTCCGCCGTCTTTCAAAATTAACTACCATTATTTCCGAATTTATATTTCATCCTCAGCTATTTCCGGTTCAGTTTATTGTACGCACCGATATTTTTAGTTGGCTAGGACACCCACCGTACATTTTAATGTTTATTTTCTTTCCGGGCTATAATGTCGCATGCATTCTCGGCTGCGCTGTTTGAGATACAATCTTTGGCGGCACCCGAGTTATTGCCGCCATTAGAGATTTATTAATCCACTGATTCCAAGTATTACCGTCTGTTGGGTTGTAATCCTTGTTTTAAGGGAGTTAGTCACATTCAAATGTTACACTGATGATCCCACGTACAATATAAGATAGACATTCGTCGAAATTCACTATATCATATATTTAAAATATGTAAGAATGTCAGGACGGATGCCAATAACTATACACGACTTTGTCTGTCAATCTCACCAAGCATAATCAATGTCTAGATTATGAAAAAATAATTTCATCGTGAAATTAGCGCAAAAGCCGAGTTAAAAGAAAAAAATATGCAACTTTTTTTAAAGTTTCTTTTTTAAAGTTTCTTTAAAATGTTGTTTTGTCTGTCACGTGTGCTGATAACACGGGCCAATATTATTGAATATATGAAGCTCACCTGACTCTGCAATTTGGTGCGAAAACCACCGAAACTAATCGGAATGATTTTGTTAGTAAATAGACCAGAATTAAATAGCATGTATCGATCCAATTTACAGATTTGGGTATTTTTTTTCGTTCTGACACCAAAGTGTACGCAAGAGCTCACACGCGTTTGAGTGGGTGATAATAACAAAATAGACACGTTAATCATTCGAGTGATCCTTGGATGAAGGATTTTAGTCTACTACTAAGTATCAGGTCACAAACTTAAAGTGGTGGGGGTCGTCACTTACGCACGCGCGGGAATCAAAATCGCTACCTTTACTATGTTGCATTTTTTACACTTTTCAAACCCCAGATTTTTTAAATAATTGAGGTCAGCAACAAGTACCCAAACCTTCACAATATATGATGTGTTCAGCCTATGTCACCAGCCTCCAAAACTTTGAGATGTGGCATAAAATCTCTGACATAGGTAAAAGTATTATTAATACAACCATTATTTTCCGTCTCGAAAATTAGGCTGGTGACCCCTAAAGTCCATATCCTCATATTTCCCGGAATTTATTTCAATCTGTTTCAAAATGAATAACATCTGGGTACTTGCATTTTATCTGTAGGCTTCTCTCTAAAGTTGTTTTGTGAAAAGCTAGAAGTTTGGGTTTGAAATCAGGGTCGATGACCTTGTTTGTAGACATTGAATGATTCGTTAAAAATTTGTGGTGTATCATTTAATCATATGAGTACAGTGGCGGATCGGGGGGGGCTTGGGATCCGGGGACACCCCCCCCCCGTTGAAAAACGTATTCAATTTGTTTTTGTATAATATATAAAAATCATTAAATTAGTCTGTCGATTTTAAAGTTTGGACCCCCCGATAAAAAAAAATCACGTATCCGTCCCTGGAGTAATACGTCATAAAACACGTAGTTTATTTTGTTATTAGTATCCAGACAAACCACGATGTTTGAACGAAACGTACATGTACATCAATGAAACTGAATATGCCGCCCTCTTGCGGCTTTGCTAAAGACACACGCGTGATAACTTGGCGCCGAGAGTTTCTCGCGTATTTTCGCGCAATTACACACAGATTAATCGTCATATAATACTTGTATATGAAAAACGAATGGGGAATACAATTTTAAAAAAGGTGAATCTTTTCAAGCAAATAGTTAAAAACAATGTATTTCCTCAAGAGGGCGGCATTTCTAATTGGAAAAATAAATAACGAACATTCATAAATGTACACGATCGAACTGATTGCAAAGAAAGAGGTAAGAGAAAGAAACGTGGGAGAAGAATACTATTAATTTTATAATTTTATTTTAATATTTTGTCGTATTTAATATAATTATAACATTTTTGTATGTCAGTCGAGGACATGAGAAAGCTTCGATGGCCGTATGTACTATTTTTTGTGTTCCTTGTTTGTATTTTAATTTTGGTTGGTGCACTGATGACCCGGGCATGACCCGACGTATTGCGTATTTGCTGGTCGCGCCCAAGCCGCGCATGTTATCTCTATGCACAGACGCGCGGGTCATTACGGTCGGTCTATACAAAATATAAAAAACGACCCCCGTTGGTCCATTTTAACCTTTAAAAATGCCAAATGCTCATTGATATAAAGACAGGGGGGAAACGAGTAACAATTTGACTGCGATTTAGACTGGAAACCTACCTGTTAGGATAAACTTAATTTGTTCACTTTGTACACGTCATATAATACTAGATGTGATTTCTGATTGGCTGAGGAGATGATGTCATGTATAATTAATGAGTTGTACCACAATTCCTTGCGTTGTGTTCTTCAGTGTTATCTGTTAATAAAGTACTCGCATAGATCACTTCGATTCATTATCTAGCCTTGTATTTTACAAGATGGATCAACGATGTCCAACACTACCTGATATTTCGTAGGTTCTTCATCCTTGTCTGTAAAATAATAGTCTGGTTTCCTAGATTTTGTACGTTCAGTTGGTAATATTCTTTATGGAC